TTGCAACACTTGGGATAAGTTTTCATTTCCCATATTTACTATCCTTTACTTTAGGAAAATAGGGTTATTCCAACTGGTAGGAAGAAATGGGGAGAAATATTTGACATTAGGGACAACAAATGGTAAAAAATATATCAAATACCATTTCGCACAACTACTAATACAAAACTCCAATGGCTCCAAGTAAGATTTCTCCATCATATTCTGACAACATATATATATCTATGCAAAGCTGGCCTTTCTAATAATCCTTTATGATTTTTTTTTTCAATCTAGATAGGGAAACAATAATTCATACATTATGGGAGTGTGCCATTGTACAAAATTTCCTACACAGTTTTGAAACACTACTAGAAGCTTTAATTATCCCATTTTCTTTTAATAAGGAATCCTTCCTTTTCGGAATAGTGTCACAGTCAGGAATAGGCAACAGACTAGATAATGGAATTTTAATTATGATCAAACACTATATTTATAAAACAAGATGCCTTCAAAACACTTTATCAGTAAATGCTTTAATTGACAGCATAAAAGACCATCATTCTATACAAAAATATATAGCATGTTGCAAGGGGGATAATTTTGTAAGAAAACTGGAACGAGAATGGAAAAATATAGAACAACCTCCTGGAATTATAAGCCAAAAATTAAATCATTTAATATCGTCTAGTCAGTAGATACAATACAACTTCTCCGACAGTTCTCATTTTATATTTTGAAAATACCCTGCTGCACATACATGTAGCCAGCACACACTTAGTTTTCACAAGGGTTGAACTCCAACATTTTTGTCCATTTTTGGGAATTTCAATTGAAGTTTCTGTCTGAAATTATTATAGTTTAATCTCTATCATGATATAATGTATATTTTGTCTTGAGTATTACCTTCATTTCTCGGCAACTGTTTTTTTAGGAAACTTGGCATAATTAACCCAAGGGTAAATGTATATGGCTGTATTGTCTTATAATTTTATCCTAAACACAAAGTTCTTTTTTTCTTGAGCTGCAGTGCAAAAACCAGATTCTCCCTTTCTTCCTTTTTCTGTTGACTTTCTCCTTTTTTCTTTGCTATTTTTTTTTTTTTCTTTTTTTCTTCTTCTTTTCTTTTCTTGGCAACCGTCCTCATATGACCCTGACTGTTGTCTTACTAGGCACCCGTCCTCATATGATCCTAGCTGTTGTCTCCCTAGGCACCCGTCCTCATATGACCCTGGCTGTTGTCTCCCTAAACACCCGTTCTCATATGACCCCGGCTGTTGTCTCACTAGGCACTCGTCCTCATATGACACTGGCTGTTGTCTCACTAGGCTCTCGTCCTCATATGACCCTGGCTGTTGTCTCCCTTGACACTCGTCCCCATATGATCCTGACTGTTGTCTTCCTAGGCACCCGTCCTCATATGATCCTAGCTGTTGTATACCAAGCACTCGTCCTCATATAACCCCGGCTGTTGTCTCCCTAGGCACCCGTCCTCATATGA